TGAATTATAATCTATTTTAATAGTTATTAGAATAATCATTACATTGGAAAAATCTAATAATTATATTTCTGATTCAGGGTGTTGGCAGACCTGGACAATCTAATGCCAGGGACGACGACGAGGCGTACGATGATTATTATGATGGTTCTGGCACCCGACACACTAGAACTCGGGGTGTCAATGCGTCCGTTCGTCGAGAGAGGGACGCGGAAAGACAGGCGTTGATCGATGAGGCTCGTAGGGTACAGCTTCGAAGAACAGCTGGCTAAGTTTAAGTTTGATTACGACAATGCCCAATAATAATGTAATGAATGTTTTTTTTTTTTAATTATTATTGTAAAACATTAAGTTGAATGATTTTTTTTTTTAATTTGCTGAACTTAAGTTGAATGAGAAGCGTCATACCGTAACTGAATAATATCGTTCTTTTATTCAATAATGTTTTGTTTGAACAATATACCACAATTGCAACCTAGATAGGTACTGATGCTCCCAACCCACAACCGATTGATCTCGGTAACGGAACCACATGTTATGAATAGGCGGTAATGGACAATCATCAGTCAAATCTAAACGAATGTAGTGTTCTACGGTACCAAGATGCATAAGCTGTATACTTTTGTGTTCGGATCGGATTCTACATAAACTGTATACTCGCTGCTCGCATTGCCTGGTGTTTTGCAGCTTCAATAGCCTCCTGAGCACTATTATAGAATGAAGATATATCGAAACGCAGACTGTAATCAACACCATCTCCTCCAAAATCTTCCCATGACTCCTGCTATATAGTACAATATTTTTATTTTTAGAACATGTTAAATTAAGATAATTAATTCTACGATGTAACATAATAATTTGTAACTCGTAACATGATATTATCTAACGTTCAATTAATATAATTTGTAACTCATAACACGATCACGATAATATCTAACGTCCAATTTATATTATAATAAACATGTAACACAATAACTTGTAACTCTTAACACGATACTATCTAACGTCAATTTATAACATAACTAAAACTAATATATAATGTAATAATTTATAACTCGTAACACGATAATATCTAAACGTCCAATTTATATTATAATAAACATGTAACATAATAATTTGTAACTCCTAACACGATAAACGTCCAATTTATATTATAATCAACATGTAACATAATAATTTGTAACTCCTAACACGATAAACGTCCAATTTATATCATAATCAAGTCTAAAAAGTAACATAATAATTTAAAACATAATAATATAGCCCAATTTATAACATAATTATTTCGAATAATAACATAATAAATAAAAATAAAAAAAAAAAAAAAAAAAATTGCCGGCCGGCCGGCCGAACCGGACGGACCGGTTCCGACCGGACGTCGGTTCCGGACGGTCTTTAAGCCGTCCGGACGCCGGTTCCGGACGGGCTTTAAGCTGTCCGGAACCGGCGGCCGGACACGTATTTTTTCATAAATTGTCTGATATGTTTAGAAAAAATGAGAAGGGCAAAATTGTTCAAGGGGGACGGTGAGTAGTAAAAGGGGGGACGGTGAATAGTAACGCCCTAAAATTATGAGTGGATTGAAGGCTAACACACACTAACATATACATATCATTATAAACCTCCCCAAACCCCTTCCCGGAGAGAAGGGTCTACAAACCTCCCAAAACCTCGTTCTTGTGACAGTGAAAAAGGGCAGATCTTTGCCCAGCCATGATTGAAAGTCGATTAATTGTGCTACTGAGGAAATCCAAATCTCTATCCCAAAAACTTCTGTCGCCGACGACGAGGGAATGGAAAACGTCATTTTCCTCACCTGGTGTCTTCGCATGTGAGTCCCAAGCTAGATTTTACTCTTCATTTCCGAGACCTTGTCCTGCTACCAAAACCTCGGTCGTACAAAGCTGCTTTGGCAGTGGATTAAGGTCGTTGCTTCAGAATAATTGTAAGGTATTTGGATAATTTGCCCTCTTATGGCCCTTGTTTCGCACATAATAAATTTTGGTCCTATTTAAGCTCAAGTATAAATTGTATGCGTAAATGGGATAGCTATTCTTTTTCCGAGTTCAGTAATGTTCTATGCTACAAGCTTGATCATGCTATTTGTGTTGTTTTGTGGTTCACGTTAACCGTCCTGCTGCAGTGCTGCTCTTTGTACTTTGTAGCATTTATAAATGTGGTTTTTACTGTCAACATATTTTTCAGTCTTTCCAGACAGACTATAATAAATGTTGGATGGATTAGTGTGTTTTCATGATCATGTGCTCAAATGGGATCTATTGATTCTAACTATAGAAGCATCTCCAATTCGGATGTTTCGGTAATCAGATTTCGATAGATCGACACTATTGATTTCTATATTTTCAGTGGCTATATTTACTTAACCTTTTTTCTGATTTCTGATATGGTTTTTCTCTCAGATGCTCACTCTATTATTTTTCTTGTCATGATTTTTCTAATTGTATGCATAGTCAATACACACAATACTGGCTGGAGAGCAGTTTTCTAGAAAAAAAGCCTGCCGTATTGCCATTTGAATTTTTCTTGTTCAATATCTTCATTAAGCTCAATACTTCCTTTTCAATTTAGCCTTTTTTGTAAGATTGCACACTACTAAAGTGGAACTTTCATTCTGTTATTAGAGCATTCATAAATCATCATTAAGGAATTTCACCACAGTGGCCTCTTTACCTGGAAAAAGTATACAAGGAGTGAAACTTCTTGTCACGTCTGGACCTCATGCTCAGAAAGCAGTTGGTATTTGGCTTTTTGTGTCAGCTGCTTGGGTCTTTAGTATGGTGGTACTTGGTGGTGTCACTCGGCTGACCAGATCTGGCCTATCAATGACTGACTGGAAATTCACAGGCGGTCTTCCTCCTCTCTCGGATGATGAATGGTTGATTGAATTCGAAAAATACAAGCAGTCTCCCGAGTACAAGCGGTAATTAACCTCCCACTGTCACTTGTTTTCTTATTTATGATACATGCAGGCTTTGTCAGGAAAATATTCTACTAGCTATCAACTTTATGTGCTTAACATGTTCCGTGATGAAGGCATAAGTAGTAGCTGTACTGGGTTCTTTTAAGTTTTTATTTACTTTTAAAATTCCTTATTGGTTGTTGCAGAATAAATAAAGGGATGAATCTTGACGATTTTAAGTTCATCTACTGGATGGAGTATGCCCACCGTATGTGGGGAAGGGCACTGGGTATAATGTTCGCATTGCCCTTCTCATATTTCCTTAGGAAAGGTTACATTACCCTCCAATTAGGACTCAGGCTTTCTGGCTTGTTTGCTCTTGGCGCCGGTCAAGGACTAATCGGCTGGTGGATGGTCAAGAGTGGATTAGAGGTGACAACTGAAAAGGACTTAAAATCTATGTAAATTTGAAACTTATCCTAGATGCAGCTTTTATTGTTAAAATAAAAATAAAAATAAAAATAAATAAATAATTTCTTTTTTTAGGAACCCGTGTCTGAGTATGCTGAACCAAGGGTAAGCCCTTACCGGCTTGCAGCTCATTTGACCTCAGCATTCATTATTTATTCTGGGCTTTTTTGGACGGCTCTTTCTGTTGTTATGCCTGAACCTCCTGCTGAGTCCTTAACCTGGGTTCAAGGGGCAGCAAAAGTCAAGCGTATTGTGCTCCCTGTGAGTATTCTTGTTGGGATCACCGCCATTTCAGGAGCATTTGTTGCTGGAAATGATGCCGTACGTTATATCGTCTTTTTTTTCCCTCAATTTTCTATTTTCATGCTCTCGGAATAGAATGTTATGTTTTATTCGACTCGGCTGCATTTGGTATTTTATTTCCAGGGCCGTGCATTTAATACTTTCCCCAAGATGGGTGATGTTTGGATACCAGATGACTTATTTAACATGAAGCCTCTAATACGGAACTTCTTTGAAAATACAGCAACTGTGCAGGTAAATTGTTCCTTTCTAATATGACACTTGAGTTTTAAGGCATGGAATATGCAAATTAATAGATAAGAAAAAAATTCTGACAATTCTTTCAAAATTTTATGAAGTGAAAATCTAGCATGAATTTATATTTTTAACAATTCTAGTTATTTTCTCATCTGAAAATCACTGTCGATGTTGTTTCTTATTTCCTTGGTTGCTTCGTACGAGCAACATTACTAATAAATGCTTCAGAATTGTAGTTCTGTTTTGGAGGTTATAACAATGTATATAGATCTGAGCCGTACACACACGGTAAATTCATGATATTTCATCGACGCATTAAACGGAGGAGTTTCAGCCTCAATCATTTAGTAATACATCCTATGTGTGCTTGTTCTCGTGCTTATATATTGCTAAGAGAGAGATGAGGAAAAAACAGTCAGAATCAAGTAAAATTAGTTCCAACTTGCAACTCTACTATTAAGTGCAATCTAAATATGCTTCAACTATTGTATTTGCTTGTCTTATACTTTATTTTCTTATTTGTACCAGCTCGACCATAGAATACTTGCGACTGCAACCTTATTTTCAATTGGTGGCTTGTGGTGGTCAACAAGAAAACTCGATATACATCCTGCAATACGGTCTTTAATAGGAAGCACTATGGGCATGGCTGTTCTTCAGGTACCACACAATCATGATATTATTACTTTCCCCATCTGTTTCTGTAGGAAAGTATACCTTAACTTCAAAAGAACCCTTCTAAAGGTAATTAGCACAAATTATTTTTTGGGTAAGAACTTGTCCAGTTAACTATCCGTTCCCTTTTTATTTGAATCCCTTAATGCAGGTGACCTTAGGGATATCAACTCTGCTATCTTATGTACCGGTGTCACTTGGCTCTGCTCATCAGGCTGGCGCCCTAACTCTTCTAACCCTAATGATTCTTCTGAACCACACTTTGAGACGACCTTCTTTACACCTTCTGAAAACACTTCCTTCTATAGCAAAATCTGCATGACAGGTCACAATACTTTTGAAGCGTTTATTTCTTTGTGCAACAGTACAAAAATTTGAATAATGTGTAGTTTACAGAAGATGGAGCAACCTGACTCTATACTTGCTACAACCTACAATTTCCTTGCATTTTAGTGTAGCAATATCAAAAATTGTATTGAGATGTGCTTCTGACTTTATGGTGATAGAAATTAGGCAGAGGAAGAAATTTCTTCACGTTTATTGTGAATCCAAAGATGTCACCATTTCGGTTAAACTTGTGGATTTACCTTCCCTCGCAGAGATTGAGACGGTGTGGCACGCATCTTCGGGACTATTCTACTATGCCTTTCCCGCGTATGGGTAGTATTTATTCAAGTGCAAACCTTCTGGTTTTGTATATGCACTTTTTATCGTAATATACTCTTTTATTTTTTCATCGCTATAAAAAGTATTGTGCCCCTATGGTTTTACGTTCCCATGCCCGCCCCTATTTATATTATATTTGAGGCTTTTTTGTCATTCTGTTGCTTGTGCTAGCATAATCTCGCTTTGGAGATGTGTTCGAAAATTCATCCACTAAACTGTAATCAGCCTACAATCAAGTGTTAGACGAGAAGGGGTAGCTCAGTTGGTAACACTCTTTACTTGGGACCAATAAGTCTCGAGTTCGAGTCATACAGGAGTAAGTGGGGAAACCTCAGTTGATCCTAAAAAAAGAAAACCTACAATCAAGTGTTGGACAAGCTTGCCGAGAACCAAGATTTTACAACTTATTTTATTTGTGACCCAATTGCCTAACTCTGCTTTAATGCTATGTCATGGAATTCCAAACTCCTTGTGTTGATAAAAATTGCATAAGGAACACCAAAGTCTTCTGGACTTTGAAACAAGGATAGTAGTCAGTTTGAAGTCAGTTGTACCAAAAAGATTGTGAAAATCTAAACTAGAGTAAACCAAAATGTCATGCAAAAAGCCCTAATAATAGAAGCTTTTGCTTTTT